CAAAAAAAAACACAATTTTTGTCATTGCCTTTTTTTCCTGGTATCCAAAATCATCATTTGATAATCAATCGATTTAGAAGAAGAAGAAGAAAAAAATTTCCATGAGAACCAAATACAACCAGAAATATCGATAATCAAATAACGATTAATTTGTTTTTTTCTTCATTGCTTCATTCATTCAACATTCCAAAAATCTAACTTCCTTTTTTGTTCAGATTTCTTTTATTTATTTACCCAACACATAGATGGGCCATTATCATTAACCAAATATAATATGATCGGGATTGTTTCGATAAACAAACTATAGAGAAAAGGAAAAAGTAAACGGAAAAAAATTATCAATAAATAGTAGCATAATCAATAATCATTGACTAATTATTTAGCAATCTGTTCAATTTACCATAAAAATAATTTTTGAACAAATAAAAAAAAATCCATAATGTGTGTCAACATAGATGATTGTTTGTTTTGAATATATGTTGTTGTTGTTGTTGTCACATTTGATCGTTTTATTTTAAACTGATGTTTTCAAATAGTTATTCAATCAATTCATTTGATCAAATTGATGATATCATCAGAATTGATTGATAAATTTTTTTTAAAAATTTAAAAATTACTAATTGCTAATCATTTACATGATGGATGGTAATCATCTCTCTTTCTGAATTGAATTGAATCGATTGATTGACAGATTGTTTTTTGTTTTGCTAATGAAATATTTAAAATTCCACAAAAAAATGATAATGTTTTTTCCTTTGGTTTGTGTGTGTGTGTGTACCATTTCAAATAATCATTATTAATCATACAGGATAGTAATTTATTCCCTCACTTTCAATTGCTGTTGTCAAAACAAAAAATCATAATGTATTTTCTTTTCTGCTAAAATCAAACATTATTATAATTTTCAAATGATGATTTTAACTGATTAAATTCAGCCAAAAAAAAACAAATCGTTTTACATTTCAGGATCACTAAAAGTAAAGAAATTGATCATCAACAAAAAAAAACCCAATGATGATGCTATTTTCAAACCAGAATCTGGTTATATCGAAATATTTTGCTCTTCAAAGTTTATTTATTTATTTATTTTCTATGTTTTGGGCCATAAATACACGGTATGGTGCCAAGCAGTCTCCGGGTTGTTGTTGTTGTTGTTGTTATATATTTCAAGCTCAAATATTTTCTGTGTTTTTTTTACTGATCAATCAAAATGGGCATAGTCAATAGATACACACAAACACAACTTAAAGTTATGAGAAGGAAGGGAAAGAGAGTCATTGATTATCTTGAGAGAGGGATGACATCTTGATGATGATTATTATGATGGTGGTCGTTGGTTATTCGTAAATGATGACACGAGTTTTTCCAAACACATCGTGTATTGGTCATCATTGAATTAAACATTTGACCTGTGAAACTAACTAACCGACTAAATAACTAATACATAACTAATCCATAAGGGGATAATAATCGTACATTTTAAAAATGTCAAAAATTTTTTTAATTTTAAAATACTTAGGTCTAAACATACACCATATACAAAAGGTGATTGACATTAATTTTGTAGTTTTTTTTTGTAGCTTCTGGCTTCTTCTTATGGCACATCATGTGGAGCTTTTTTTTCCAAGCCAGTCATATCAATAATAGCAGTTCATCCCAATTTGATAATTGAATTTTCTTGAAAAATCGTATCCTACCTACCTGTATGCTTGACATTATTTGATCTTTAAATTTATAATCTTTTTTTTTTATTTTGTTGCCCTTACAAATTCAAGGTTAATCTCTCTGTGTGTGTCTGTGTATATAAATGATGTGTTTTTTCTCCCTCTTTTTTTTTATCTGGTTAATTTCAATATTGTACAAGCCTTTTTTTTTCTCTCGAATATCGGATGGTCAAGCGAACTTTGTGGAAAAAAATCTTGATGCAAAAAAAATTGATTCCCTTTTCATCCGATAGGTATCGCTTTTTCCAAATTTTAATTCATTGTGTTTTTTTTGATTATCTTTTATCAATTGTATATTAGGATAATGATGATGTTGATTAAAAATCATTGATGGGCCCCATGAAAAATATTAATCATCGTCATCACTATTTTTGTTTTTTTTTGTCAAAATCATCATCATATTTATTTCCTAATTTTTATCATTAAATAGTTTAGCGTTGCCCTAAAAAAAAATGTTAATTATTAATCATGTTATGGATATTTGTAACAAAATATATAAGAATGTAAACTTTTTGAAATAATAAAAGCTGATTGAGCTGATTATATAGACAACAACAAAAAAATGAATTCATGATTGTTGTTTGATAAAAAAAGAGAATCATTCATTCATTCTACACTATGTTTTTTTCATATTTATATTTAGTGTGTGTGTTTCGGTCGATGTGTATGTATAATTATCACCCGAAAAACAAAAAAAAAAGAAAAGAAAATTACTTTAGACAGAAGTAAGAATCTTTCTTTCTTTCTCTCATAAAAATATATTCGGTTCAGTTGTTGTTGATGAGGTTTGAGATTTTTTCTTTTCTTTTCTTTTCTTCTTCGTAATTTTTCTTATTTCATAGTTTTAGTATTCAAGTCAAGTGAAAAAGTGAGATCTTGATGATGATGATGATGATGAAAAAGTGTTGAATGTAAGCCATTTTTCATTTCATGATTCTAATTCTCTTGTTGTTCATCATCATCATCATCATCATCATTATTTTGATCTGTGAAAAGTCATTCATTTCAGCAGCAGACAAAAATCAAGATTCGTATTGTGATTGAATAAGAATCTTGATTCTTTCTTTTCATTTTTTTTGTCATGGACAATTTAGAACAATATTCTTGCTTCCACTGCGTGTATCGGTGAATTATCATTTAATTTTATTTTTGATTCAATCAAACTTTTATACATTTTTGCTTCAACTGAAAAAGTTATTGTCATGTCATTATTTATCATCATCATATTACAGGTTTTTGTTGTTGTTGTTGTTGAATGATAATTTATTCAAACAACATAACACACTATCACTATCTCTATCAAGCCGAAGTTACTAATAATTTTGCTGAATCAATGCATGGCCACACACACACACAGTGTTCATAATTGTCAAATTTTGGTTGTCGTTGGTGGTGGGTGATTTAGATGAATCATGGATTTTCGAGCTACTGAATTTATTTCGACACAACACACTTTGAATGGGGAATTTATTTTTAAAAAATTTCATTTGAAATTTTTGAAATTTTTTCACTTTTTGTTGTTATGATGTTAAAATTTTTTTGAAAAATGAACAAACAAACAGACCGACCAAAAAAAAATCCAATCCATTTCAGTAGTTACTATTGTTATGAAATTGATTGCGATGCTAAAAGTAAGCATGATGATGATGATGCGGTATATATACACACATCGTTAATCAAACCGACACTTATTTTCTCTCTTCATTTGTTTCGATTTATTCAATCTTGTTTTACTTGTATAGAGCAATGATGATGATTATGATGATGTGACTATAAAATAATGAACATAACAATCACTATTATCATCATTATCATCATCCAAATGTTAATTATTTTCATTCACATAGATTGTTTTTCCCGTTGCATAAAAGTGTTTTTCCATTCTAATCAATTCTCATCTTTTCTTCTGTTGAAAATTTAATGTCAATGATCTTTTGCTGTTTTTTGGTGTGATTGATATTGATCTCGATCGATGATGGTGGTCAGTGTATGCATACACACTGACACACACACACCAATCCTTAGAGTTTGATGATGATGATGATCGGTTATTTAATCATCATCAACAACATTTTATTGAATAATAATCATTTAGGTTTGCAACCTTTTTTTTCTCCTGTGTTGTTTTGTTTTAAAATGAATTTTACAATTTTCTCTCTCACCTCTCTTTTTAACAATTATCATTGGAGATGAGAAATTTTTTTCCATCATCATCATCACTTATCATCAATCCTGTTGATGTTTTTTTTTCTTCTAACTTTGTTTTGATCATATGATCATTCATTTTGATCAAAATCATACATTAAGTATGTTTGTATCAAGATTTTCATCGAAATTAAAAAGAAAAAACTTTTAAGAAGGTTCGTTTCATCATTTAGTTTTAGTTTTACTGATCATCATCATCACCATCAACAACAACATCATCGCCATGATGATGATGATTATGGATGCGGCAAAATTTTTTTTTTAAACAAAGTGATGATGCGCGAACTAGTGCTTTAGCTATCATCATCATTCATTCATTCATTCATTCATTTGAAAATGATATACATGTATTATCATCACGGGTAGGTATGTACCGCCCTTTTGAATTGATGTAAAGTATTGTATCGAAATTAGTATGAAAAAGGTGTTACCCAAACACAGCAAAAAATTGCAGCCCATTTAAATTTTGTTATTTTTTTTTTTTGCTTTTCTCGAAAATAAATAGCCATTTGTATTGTACACGTTATTGGTGTCATCATTATCATCATTCAACTATTTTGGCTGTCATCACAAACACACACACACACACAAACAGACAGAAAGGGGCTGTCATTTATTTCTGTTGTTAAGCCAATCAAGCTAGTTTTAATGAATGTTTCATTCACACATTTTAGTTTTTTCTCATTGATAAATTATGGCCACTACCACACTTAAGTAATAATAGTGTTGATTTTTTGTTTGTTGCTTTTGTTTTGATCATACCACAAACTTGATATTTCTTCTCATCATATCGTATCATCAAAACATTACCGCGCGGGTTTACACTAGTTATATTCAACGATCATACCTGTTAACACACACACACATACACATCGATCAATTGATTTTGAAATGAATTTTGAACAGAATTCAAATACTTCTTAATAAGATATCGATCCATATTTTTTTCAAATTAATCAACAGGTAATCAATTTGTTGTCATAGTTACGAAAAGATTTGTGTTTGTTTTTTATTGTTGATGATAATAACAACGACGACGACAATATCATCATCCATATTGCATATATTATGGATGGATTTTTGATTTGATTTTTCTAGTTTTCGTTAAAAATAACACATTCGTTCGTCACATTTACAGTTTTCATTGACTTTTGTGTTTGTTTGTGTTTGTTTGTTTGTTTCTTTGTGTCTCCTATAATCTAAATCCAAAACATTTTTAATTCATCAAGTTTATAATCATCATTTTTTAAATGTATCAATTTTTTTGAATCATCGTTTTCATTTAGGTAATTATTTTTATTTTAAAGTTTTTTTAATATGAAAATTTTCAATTGAATGATATGGAAGGAAAGTAGAAAAACAGTGTATATTGATGATGATTTGATTAATATTTATCAATTGATTTCAAGTGTTTGTAGTTACTGACAAAATTCTTCTGCTACTTTAGTGGTGGTTCAAATTTTTGGTTATTTGTTTAATGATAATTTATTTTTATTTCTTTTGCTATCGACTCATATCGGTGTCATATCAGAAATATTGATTAATTCAATTAATAAATTATCAATTAGTTTTAAATGTAATAATGATGATGAGGATATGTGTATCTTCTTATGGGGTAGAAGATGGGGTGACAAATGGTAAATTTTCTCACCATTGTCATTGATAATTGGATTGAAATGATAAATATATCCGTATTAATTATCACCATTATGATTGTATCATAACACTTGACATTATTTTGTATGAAATTTTCTAATCTCAAAAGAAATTAAATTGAATTGAAATGATGATTTTCACTCAATCACACATGGAAACGCCCTTGTATTTTTGTAAACTTTGATGTTTTTCATTTCAAAAATCATTGAAATTCTTGTCATTGAAAAGTATTTAGCTCGCTTGTTTTTCCAAATCATTCAACAGTTTACATTTGATTGATGCTAAATGATCTATTCTTCTTTTCAAAATGAATGACAATTTTTTGATTAGTGGATTTATACAACACACACACACACATATCACACCATTGTCATCATCATTATCATTTGAATTTGAAATAAATGTCTATTTGGTGTTATAAGTGTTATTGTCTGTCTATTATGTGCGTATGTGTGTGTTGAAACTTGTAAATGAACTGAGGACAAGTATAATTGAATTTTTTGTTTTTTGTTTTTGTTTCATAATAAATAGTAAAATTATGTAAATTTTTTTGTTTTGCTGGTTTTTCATTTTCAACCAAATGTTTTCAACGAATATAGCTATAGCTTGCTGTACCGAGTACAAATTTCCATTTTCATAATTTCAATGATGATGATGAGTGTAAAGGAATTGAAAAAAACATAGAACCAATTTCATTTTGCTTTGAAAAAAAAACAAAAGAAAAATCCATTCTTTTTTTCGGTTCGTCGATCATGAATTATGACGACGACAACGACGAAGAAACTACTAAATCATCATCATCATTATTGACATCTAGATGAAAAAAACAACTGATGGTGACACTGTGGAAAAAAATCCATTTTTTCCAAAAAAAAAGTCTAACAAAAATTTTATTTTAATGATAATGATGATCAAATCTTTCACGGGAAATTTCTCGGAATGTTGTTGCTGCCAATCCTCATCATCAATGTTGTTGTCACACATGATTTTTTATCTTTTTCTTTTTTTCCAATGATAGCCATGTAATTGTTTGAATTTTTTGTTCACAATTTCAATTGTGTGACAACATTGAACAAAAAAAAACTGATACCAAATTTGACACTATATTCGCTACTAAATTTAACTTGATTTAGATGACAAACCTCTACTTTACCGTTTTTCAATTTTTCCCTCTTTTTTTTCACCCTGAATGTGTCAATCATCATTCGAAGAATGATGCGTATGAAAAAAATTGATTGAAATCAATGATGATTTTGTCATTTTGATCATTTTGTTGTTGTTGTTGTTTATGTGAAAATATTCGATATTGAATGACAGTATAAGACATGTCAAACATGGATCATTGAATTGTAGATCATCTTCATCATCATCATAATTATCTTTGTTCTTTGCCTGACCTTCATCAAGGTTTTTCATTAAATTGAATGATGGTGATTGTGTCATTAAAACAAAATAAAATTTTGCTTTTTTTTGATGACCAGAATTTTTGATTCTAATTTTTAGTGTAATTAAAACTAGATGAGAAAATTATAAAACAATATCCAAGATGGGTGAGACATTTTATAATGACACTTACCCTTGGTGTAATCATTGTTTTTTGTTTCTTGTGTGAAATTATTCAGCACATAGATTTTTTTACTGGCTTGATTGACACATTTCTAAATTTAATCAAACAAACAAACAAACAAAAAAAGGTTGAATATAAAATAGGCTAATTAATTGTGTTTTTTCCTGTGAAAAACACAATTCATCATCATCATTAGTTAATAAGTCGGATTCTATTACCGGGTAACAAAAAAAAAGGAAAATGAAGGAATTTTTTCTCCCTTTTTCTTGCTCTCATTCAACTCTGTTTTTTAAATTTGATTGACAGCATTACATTTGAAAAATAAAGTAAATTACATAACATTTTAGATGGTGTTATTTTGAACTGATGTTGATTTTAATGGTGCATTTTGATTCATCATCTATTTTTCAATGATAATGTGAAACACGCCCGAATATTTTTCTTCTTTCAACCAAAATAAAAAAGATTCCTATAGGATAAGATATATCTTATCAAGGTTTAACTTTTTTTTAAAGTATCAAATAAATCAATCTAGATCCATTTTAAATTATTATTATTAAAATGTTAATTTTGTTTATTTCTTGGGAAAAAAAATTTAGAGATGAATTGAAAATCTAAATCTACATTGACGCCTGTGATCATCATTATATAATCTCATATAAATTGAATATGCTTGATATACCTGAAACAAAAGAAACATTGGTGGCACGTGAAAAATTTATACATATTATACCAACATCAATGGAACATCAATTAAAACCACCACCACCGTTAAAAAAGAAAAAATTAAAATCCGCATCAACAGTATCATCTTCTGATCATAGTAGTGTTATTGGTGGTATTATTCGAAATCGTCATCATCATAATCGTAATGATGAAAATAATGTTCGTACAAAAGATTTAGATGATAATAATCAGGAAAATATGGAACCACCGCCAAAACCACCAACAACTATGACACAGCAATCATCAACATCGTTGAAACGAAAATTATCCACCGATTTTGATAACAATACACATAATTCAAATTCAAATGATGAACAAGAATCATTGACAACATCAACTGCCTCAACAAATTCTGTTGATCAAATTTCTGCTATGTCAACCAATAATAACACAACCACAACAACAACGACGACATCATCATCATCATCATCAAATGAAACAATAAATCAATATAATAATAATTACATGGGTCCAAATAATACTGGATATTTACAGCCATCAATGGCCGAAATACATTCAAATTATCTTCAACAATTCCATTATTATCAACAAATGCAACAACGTCATATATTAGCATCATCTCAAAAAGGATCTCATATGAATGATAGATCACCGCCGCCAACACTACCACCACCGATAACAAAATCAACCGATTTTTCCATCAATGCTATTATTGGTTCTAATAATAATCATCCACATCATCATTATCCAAATCATCAACGTCCATCACCACAACCAGCATTGACAGCTGAATCGGCTACTAGTCAACAACAATCACCAATGAAAGGTAAATGTTTTGAAATGAAAATAAAAATCTTTGTACAATATCTGAATTGATGACTAACAAAAAAAATAATAATAATAATAACCATAGGTATTTTAAACTTGTCGGTCTCATCATCACCATCATCATCGTTACCTATATCATGTATATCACATCCATACAATGCATCCATACCTAATCAACCAATATCACCATTATCACCGAATTCAAATTTTCTTGATATGATTGATTATTCTAAGTCAGGCATTCATAATAATCATAATCATCATTCATTTGTAACGTTGAATTCACATCAACAACATCATCATCATACACAACAAAAAGCAGCACAAAAAGCGGCAGCAATGCAGGCTGCATTAATGTTTAATACGGCATCAGGATATGTACCATCAACATTTCCAAATATTGTTAATAGTGGTGGTGGTCATCATCATCATCATCCACATCATCAACATACGGGTGTTATTTATCCTACATCAACAGCATCAATCAATAATGGTCAATTGGATAATACTAATAGTGGAACAATACAATCAATTTCTAATCACAATAATGGATCATCATCACAACAACAACAACAACAACAACAATTAGCAATTGTAGTCGATTCACCACGATCAGTATCATTTGGATCATTATCACCGGCATTATCAACAATATCATCATCATCTAATTCCAAAGATTTGCTAACAACAACAACAACAAATCAATCACAACAACAACAAACAAAAAATCAAACAAAAAATAAAGATCGATCAAATACAAATGGATCACCGGCATCAACTAATTCATCATCATCACCTTCATCATCATCATCTTCGTCATCATCATCATCATCATCATCGGAAATTAATCCATATGCAACAATGTTAAAACCAAAATATAATTGTGAAAATTTGGCAAAAGTTGAATGTCATTTAGAGAATAAAGAATTATGGGATAAATTTCATGAACTTGGTACCGAAATGATTATAACAAAAACTGGAAGGTAAGTTTTTTTAAATAATTAATTTATAAATTTTTAATATTATTGTTATTTTTGATTATTTACATGCACCCAATATAGGTGCAAAATTCATTTCCCATTTTCTAACCAACATTTTCTTTATATATTGACACAGTACCTAATCAATTTTGTTTATTTTCGTTTGATACTTTTATACACTTTATGCATCAAATTTACATGGGACAAAGTCTGGTGACAATCATATTGAATGTTGTCGTCATCATCGTCGCCATTGATGATGATGATGACAAAACCAACCTTATCAAAATTCATAAAAAAATACAAGTAGCTTGCTTCTAACTAATAGCTATATAATGCAATATAATGGTTGTTGGTTTTCAATGGTGGTGGGAATGTTAAATGTCATTTGATGATGACAAGGTTTTCGTTCTCTTCTTTCTTTATCTCAACAACGAGTATAGACTATTTTCTTTTTTATTAACGAAGTAAAAAGCCTGTTTTTTCTCGGTTGTTGCTGGGTATATTATAGCGATGAACAGGAGCAGCAACAACAACAAAAAAACCTGGCCAGAAAAAAAATACACAACAAAAATTAGCCATTTCCTGCCATCTGTCACTTTGCTACATGCCCAGATGAATGATAATGCTATAGTGTCACGCTTGATGATGATGATGATGATGATGTTTAAAGTTCTTATTTATGAAAGTGTAAGTGATAAGATTTAGTGGAAAAATTGTCGCGAAATCTACAAATCTTTTATCAAATATTTTTTTCCCAATTCTGTATACAGTGAGGATATTTGTTTCTGGTTTCTGATTCAAAGCCACTAACGCCAACACACACAAATAGCTTAGCTTCTTTTTTACCTATGACAATTTTTTTTTTGTTGAAAATATGCAAATTATGACAAACAATTGTTTTAGTGAGTGAAATTCCTTAATGTGCTTTGCATACACACACACACCCTTATTTCAGATGAAACTTAGGAAACTAAACTAACCTGTTTATGTTTTTTTTTCAAGTCTGCAGTTGACAATGACATTGTCAATTGATTTTCATTCGTTATGTTGTGTCTATCTTATCTCTTTCTTTTTGACTGAATGATTTGTACGATTATCCCATGGCATGAATAAATGTTGCTCCCAAAATTGCAAAAAAAAAAGAAAATCTGCCATTATTCATCAATGATGAATATTTGTTAATGATTCTGTGAATTGTGATTCAAAGAAAAATATGACAAATGAACACATTGAGAATATTTATAAATCAAGGATGTGTGTGCGATTTCGAATCCAAAAATAACCAAAAAAAAAAATTCTTTTTCCACAAAATTATTCGGTTTTGGTCGATTTTATGCCATAAACATCTTCTCAGTCAAGTGTCAAAAAAGACAGAAAAGCAAAAATTAACCAAGTTTATCAAATCAATTTTGATGCATTCAAAATGAAAGGGCGAAAGGTCACAAGCAAAAATCACAACTAACGGTAGCACCAAAGTTGTTCAGACAATTTCTTGTCCAAAAAGATTTTCAAAAAATCCATCATTTTTTCCCCTTAAAGATTGATTGATTTTCTCTTTTTTTTTCTCTCACATTCGATTGATAAAATAAGTGAGAAAAAATAAAATCCAATGACAACTTCTCATTTATAATGATAATAATGATGATGACAACCACAACTAAATGATTGTATTAGATAGATTAATCCTTTCAACACTTTTGATTCACACAAACAAACATACAAACCAAACATACTTATCATAAAGATTTTCAAATCTTTTTTTTCATCATCATCATCATTTCCATAATTTCAATTAAGATTATTAAAATCATTCACATACACAAACATATACATAATATATGTGTGTGTGTTTTTGTCTGATTGCCGACAATCATCATCATCTTAATGATTATTAAAGTCTGGAAACATGGAATAAAAAAATTGTAAAAATTTTTCTATTACATAAAACATAAATGTAGAAGAAAAAAAAGTATATAATCAACAACATCTATTTCATTCATTCAGATATATAGAGATTTTCTTTTTCATCAGATTTCATCCATAATGATGATGATGATTGACCATATAATAAACAAAAAAGGAAAATAAAAAATTGAAATAAAAATGTTCACATTACACACACACATATTACATATTGATGAATAATGAATGGATGTTTAAACTTATGCAAAAAAATAAATAAATAAAAAATATTACTGATGTCTGAATCATTTATCCATTATCAATCACACTGACTAACACACACACACGTTACACACAAAATAGTCATTTGATCCATATCTTTTTTGAATTAAAATATATTCACAAAAAAAATACGATTCAAATTTCAAATCTTTTTTTTTGTTGAATATTTTCAAACAAACATCTGTATGTGAAAAATTACTGTTTTTTTTTTGTTGTAAATTTGTATCCTACGCATGCTATGCTTGTTCTTGTTTTGACATTATAATCTAGTTGTTGTTGTTGGATTGGTCATAAATATCTATTTTGTTTGGTTATGTTATTGCTTTTGTAGAAAGCAATATGCAAATTGAATGTTGATGATGATGATGATGATGAAATTCTTGAATGTTGTTTGGCACGTTTTTTTTCAAATAAAATCATAATATTTTATTTGCTGATTACTCATCATTTGATGATATTTTTGTTTCAATATTCCAAATCATAATCGATACGGTAAATTCTGTTTTTTAGTGGAAAATGAATGAATGAACATATAGCCACACAAGAAGAAATTTTCAAATTCTTGAATTGCCAGAAAATCAGCTAAAACAAGAGAAAAAAAAAAGAAGACCTCACATGAACTAGGAACGGGATCCCAAAAGTGATTCCTTCTTCATTAATTTAACCAAGAAACAAAAAAAAAGAGGAGAGGAAAAAAATGTCAAAATTTACAAGCTGTCAAAACATGGACAAGAAAATATAATGAATGAACTTGCTCGTTTTTTTATCTTATTCGTTTGGATTTTTCTTTTTTTTCCATGAACAAAAATAAAACGGTCTCATACCGCGAGACCATTGCAAATGAAATTAAATGATGATGATGATGAGAAATCAAGTCAAGAAATGAAATTTGAGGGGGTGTATATGATATGTCACACATTAAGTATATGTGTGACATTGACACTTTTTTTCCATTGGTTTTTTTAAATACCGCGCGTGTAAGCATATCATGATATGGGTATGGATATGGAATCATTTCATGGCAACTAAAATGAAAATTATATCATTTTTCAAAATTTTGTAATTGCAGAATTTTTGGTTTTTTTCAAGTCAATTTTCTCTGATATGATTATTATTGATGAGAATGAAAATCCTGCTGACTTTGTTCTTTTTTTTTGTTTTTGAATCATCAATATGACAATTGTGAATTGTGAATTTTTGTTCAAAGAATTTTTCACAACTATTATAGATTTTTAGAGTCTTGTTCAGTAGTGGTTGTTCTTTTTTCACAACTGAAATTCACGGAAATGACTATTATTATTATTTGATTCGGTGACACATTTATCATCGAAATAACAATTTCACACTTGTTTTTTTTTGTTTTGAAACAAAATTTATCGATTTTTTCTTTGTCCAAAATGATTTTCCACTATCCATAACATGAATTTTGTAGCAAAACATTATTTTGATGATAATTTTTTTTACGAAAACAACAAAAAATGATTGTGTTGATCACCGGATAATAGGACCTAGTTATTTTTTTTTTAGTTGACTACGATCAATCGATGAATGATGATCGACAAATTTTTTTTTGTTCATAAAAAAAAATCATTTCATGGATGATAATGGTCGTTACTCGACCAATCATCATCATCATCATCATTCAGGTAACAATAGCTAAAGAATAAAGGTGAAAATCAAAAAACAAATCGTACCACATTATTCATGGCCGTCGACATCAATAATGATGATAGTCATCGTCGTCGTCGTCGAAGACTCGTGAAAAAAAATTTTCATTGTTATAATACCCCAAAATGGCAATCGATCTTCTCACTATTTTGATCCATGACATCCAAAGATAATGATGATGATGATGATGAAATAGTTGCCCCATTATTATATGGATAACTTTTTTTCAACAACAACAACAAAACACGATATAGATCAATTCAAAATTTTGTTTTAAAAATTCCTGTTTGTTTAATTTTGTTTGTTTGTTTGTTTGGACATTTTGTATCCGTGTCATTTTTGTTGTTGTTTATCAAGTAATACAGTGTAGAATATAAAAAAAATAGAACAATGAAGTGAAACTTTTGAAAAAAAATTTCATTTCCACACATGAAAAACTTGTCGATGATTATGATTTTTTTCTTTCATTGAAATCAATTGACAATCTTTGAATCTATTCAATCATTGAATGAATGAATGAATGGAAAAAAAGTCAAAAGTCTCAATTGTTTGATCAAGTTTTTTTTCTGGTTATTTATATTTGATTTACAGGGTCTTTTTTTTCTCATTCAATTCATCCTATTGAATTTATATTGTGTGGGCAATAGAAAGAATTGAATGTGGTATCTAGACGTTAGACATTTATACTGTACACAACAGATATATGTCTCCGGTGTTACCAATTTGTTTTTTTTTCATTTTCTGAATTCATTGTCGAGTGAAAGAAAGAGAATGTGTGTGTGTGTGTGTGTGTTTTGTGTAAAACACAATTGAACCAAACAGTATATTGTTTACTTGTTTTTGATTTTCATTTTTATTTTCAGTCGAATTTACTGTCTGATGATTGGCGTTAACGAGATAAATAAGGGGAAAAAAATGAATGAAAGTCAATTGAATCTCGCGCCTTTTTTTCCCAATAACTTTCATTCATTCATTGTATTTCAGCGACAAAAAAAATAAAGAATAGAAATTTCAAGTACTGTGTTTTATTGTTGTTGTTGTTTTTGGGTTGATCAATGATCAGTTCCATTCATTTCATTCATAATAATGAATAATGAAACCCCAGTAGCCAGTTGATTGTTGATGTTGATGATGATGGAACAAATAAT